GAAACCTCCCTAATAGGGCCCCATTTGACAGCAGTCACTCTCGTTGCCCTGCTAAGCCTCACATGTAGTATTCCTTCATCACAATTAAACCACTAAAGGAAAATGATGAAGAATGATCTGTGTGGGAGTGAAAAAAGAAAGAGGAAGAGTGTCTGAACACTGGCAGACATAATGGTGGTTGGAGGGGCCCCCAATGAATTTCTGCCTAGGGCCCCAACAGACTAATCACCACTGGGAACAGACAGTTTAAAAACCTCCCAGGAACACAAGGCATAGTGTCTCCTTGTTCTTTGAAGGTATGGACATAAATAAGAAGGAACTAAACCAAGAAGAGCTTTATAGATACGACTCAGCCGGTGTGTATACCTGCTACTTTTTTGTTGTAGACAATGTGCAGGACTTTGACTGCAATTTAGATTAAAAACAAGAAACTATTCAATATCAGGTCTAGGACTTTTATTTGTGTTGCCATGGTATCAAGCAATGAATATATGTATCATTTAATTTTTATTAGAATCACCACCTCTGCAACGTTACTTAATGTAACAACCATTTGGGTTCACTTGATCTCTTTTTTTATTCATTGCCAAACTTTAATCAATCAATCAAAGTTTATTTGTAAAGCACAATTATTAAAGGGTAGTTCAAAGGTCAAAGTTTGAGCCGGCAGTCTGATAGTGTTTGTGATAATCTGCTGTCAGATATAAATCAAGAAAGAGAAACATTTTACAGTTCAGAGGAATAAATATTAAACACATTATTTAAACCTATGAAATTAAAATTAAGAAACACATTTTCATAATAATGGCTAATGGCTGATATACCGTAGTCTTCTATTAGGCCTACAGAAAAAGAAGGAAAACATTTTAGGACCTGGTAGTGGATCTGTGTGGTCATTGTGGAGGATTACTGGGAGTAAATCTGGACAATAAACTGAGACTGGTCCAAGAACATGGAGGCCGTCTACTCTTCTTCCTGAGGAGGCTGAGGTCCTTTAACATCTGCAGGACCATGCTGAGGATGTTCTATGAGTCTGTGCTTTCCAGTGCTATCCTTTCTTCGTTGTGTGCTGGGGCAGCAGGCTGAGGGTAGTGGACTCCAACAGACTCAACAAAATGATCCTCAAGGCCAGCGACGTTGTGGGGATGGAGCTGGACTCTCTGATGGAGCGGTGTCAGAAAGCAGGATGCTGTCTAAGCTGCATGTCCTCTTGGAGAATGTCTCCCACCTCCTCCACGACGTGCTGGTCAGACTCAGGAGCACATTCATGGCATTGGGAGTGAGGAGAAACCTCAATGTCCTTTCAAGGATAAATAAATGTTTGATTGAATGATTGATCCTCCATTATTCATCGTTTGTTATTTATTTAAACTTTGCAGTACTCTGAATCTTAAACGGTCAATAATCTGTCCATTACCACAATGTGCAATACTGAAACTACTGAGAAATACTCTCTGTGCTTTAATACATGGATACATTATTTAATAATCTGCACTTTATACAAAGCTTATTCTTTACTAACATGCTGCTTGTTACATAACTGTGACACTCTTTCTTGTTCTTATTGTTTTATCTCTTATTTAGATTCATTATTTCATTCTGTTTATTTCTCTACATTTCTACTGCTATGTTGTGTGTGAGAGCTACTGTAAGGACCAAATCTAGAAGTATTTCTGATTCTACTTTAAAGATTGAACACAAACTTTAATCTTTCTACTCTTCATGATAAGAGTTCCTTCTTGGGTACATAAAGAGTTTTAAATACATTCATATCAGTGATGAGATCAGTGTGTGTTCACATTAACACCTGTCTATTAACACACAGGAAACAGGCTATGGTTACTGTATCCTGTCTGTTGATACTTAGCTCCTCCCTCCTTCAAAACCTCAGACTCTGCAGAAAACCACACAGCAGCTCCAGCCCAGCTGTCAATCATCAGTCAGCAGCAGGGGCTGATGGGAGTTCTGAGGACCTGTTAGAAACCGCCCGGCTCAGTCTGACCCCGCAGCTCGTCCTGGTTTGGCCTCACTTCTCGTCAGGTTCACCAGAGGAAAACAACAAAATGTTTCTCCTCCCTGCTGTGGCTCTGTGCTGTGTGAGCTCAGGTGAGTGTTTCCAGCCAATCAGGTGCCAACAAACTCAACCTGTAATAAACCAGCCCTGTCTCTGTGTAATGACTTTAACTAAACTGTGGGATTATACTGATCTGGTTTTAACATTACCTCATCGAGGAGGTGAAAAAAGTGTTATTAATTGGAGACAGAGCTGAAAAAAAGAACTGTCTCACTAACCTCCATCTGTCTGTTTCTCTATAGCGCTGGCTGCCATGACAACAGAGCTCAAACAGGACAGTTTGTCACTGACCAGGAGAGTTGGAGAAAGTGTCTCCTTCAGCTGTGAACGTTTAGACCTGTGTGTTTAGTTTATGGTTCTGGTCCAGAAAAAAGACAACGAAACATTCACAGGATTCTGAGGATTAATAAGTGGTTAGTGAACAAAAGCTGTTATTACAATCATCCTCAGAAAGATGATTTCTCAGCTGTGATCAAACAGAACGGCGTTGAGCTGCAGATCCAGAAGGTTAATTCCTCTCATTCAGCCACATACTACTGCTCCTGTTGTTAACACCCACAGTGAGAAATGATCCGAGCAGGCTGAACAAAAACCAACAGATGAGCAGAAGTCAGATAATGTTTGTGACAGGAAGACAGCAGTAAACACAGCTCACTGAGTCATTCACCTCCATCACACACAGGATGAACTGAGGGATTATTTTACTGGTGTCTGGATTGATTCTTGATTTTATTTCTTTGTTTTTCTCAATCAGATATTTCAGTAAGGTCATGGTTAGTCCACACTGTGAGGACAAAGAGAGAAGAGCAAAACACATTGACAAAATAAATAAATACAATAAAATGAAGTCATCACTTTTTTAACATATTTTAGACACATTTCAAAATAACATGTCTTCCTCTGGCTCCAAGGCCAGGAGCAATACAGGATGGATACAATGCATGATGGGTAAGGGAATGTAAAAAGGCTGTGAGCCAGGTCCAGCCCTCAGCAGGTATTTTGCTTCTTTTCAGCATTATTTTCTGTTGGCATAAACCTTTGGCCATCTCAAATGATAATGACCACATCCAACTCGGGGACTTTAGTCTACATGATGTCACTGCACATATAAAGATACTATCAATCCATAAATAGTGATAGAGGTATGACATTTGACAGGGAGTAACCTGAAACATATGACAAATTACAAATATAAGATTGAGGGGCTTGCTGCCATTGTGTTTTTGAAATGTTTACCACAACATCTTACAAGACACAAAGAAAAACACTGTCCAATTCTCTTCAAACATGCCTACCCTTTTCATGTATTTAAAAACATAACTATATTCATCAGCCCTATTTGAGCCCAAGATGACCTTTGTGTATTCAAAGTGACTTTAGCTGTAACCATGTAATGCATGTTTGAAACTCAATAATCTTTCAT